CAGTGTCTGAGATGTACAAGACTGAATAGGACAGATGTGATGTAAAAAAGTTTATTATTAACTTGAAACACTCACTGTACTTGTGGCTACTGGGCAGATTTCCTTTGTTCTGTGCTACCTTTCTAAAGCTGATGTATCTTGCTTTTAAAGTACACTTGCCTCATTTGACTGTTATCACTATACTGGCATAGTGTGTGTTATAACGTGACATTAGTGGCAGCACTGCCAAATTAGGGGGAATCTGCTTTTCCTATGCCTTAAAGCATCATCTGCCTGCAGGTTTAGGTTTCCTACATGGTGAACTCATGGCCTCTCTGTAGATTGTTTTCTGACTTTCTGATCATAATTATCAGTGGCAATAATTCTCAGTGACCATACAATAAGTCTCGATGCTAAAGATTTGGACAGGAACCTAAAATTACATGCTGAAATTCAGAAGTCAAAGAAAATAAAGATATATTTTTTCACCATTATACTGCTGGTTTCTGTCACTGTTTATGCACGGTGCTTGTTAGAGAAGCCACCTGTCACATGAGGAGAACATAAAGGAACTTAAGACATGTCTAAAATTGTGAGTACCCTCTATTCATGAAGATGATTATGATATCTAATGCAATTTATTCCCACTATGCCTTAGCTTCTGGAAGATGTGTTGATAGTACAAATCTGTGTTGAAGATTTCGAATTGGTAATTTATAGAGTATTTCTGGGTAATCAGAAATAGCCAGCAGAAGGTTGCTTTTCTGGCAAAGTAATTAAGAGAAATATCAGAGAGTTAGGAAGATAGAAAGCATGAGGAGAAAACAGAGAGGTGAACCTGAATGCTCCTTTGTGAGCACTAGTGTTTTGTTATAGTGAGTTTTATGGAAAACTATTATCAAGGTGAAGCTTTGGTAATTGTAGAAGCATGATAATTGTAGAAAATTTTTGAAGAGTCTATGGTAGGGCAGTTTTCTGTTTTAAAATAGACATTTGATATATGAAGGGTGTATGACAAATAGTCAGTCCCTTTCTGATTTGGGATTTTGGGACAAAACATCCTTTTCCTATCAAGCACTGATTGATCAAAGTAAAACAATTTTTTGAAAATGTATGAGAGGTGTTGAACTTCTGTCTCAATGGAGATTGCTTTCTGTCAGAAATCTGAATGATTTTCTCAAGGTTTTCTGTAGGGCCAAATAGTTCTGGGAAGGTTCTTTGCCAATGAGATGAAAACCACTAGCAGGACAAAAATAAAAATTCAAGAACCTCTAGTCTTTATGAAATGAGAAGAATTACAGTTTCTGAAAAATGTCAGAAAATTCCATTTCATGTTCAACTAGCACAAGATCAAATTCCATGTGTGAATAATATTAGAAAAGCATAGGTCAGGTTTTTGATCTTTTGTTTATTTAGAAGTCAGAGGGCATCTTTTCTGCATATAAAAGATAATATATTATTGCTTTCTTAGCATTGTTTTATGTGGCATTTGGGCTGTTCACCTTTTATCTGCTGACCTAGTTAAAATGGTGATTTAAACTTGGTATATTGTGTTTGTTATTTATAATTAGCTGGGATGTAATCACTCCTTGAACAAATCTCATCAAATGCTTCCAGACTGAGTTGCATTTAGCTTGAACAAGCAGAGAATAAGTCTGTGTCTGATTTCATTCAGTTTGATCATTCCATTCACCTGAATTCAGTACTAGTTTCTCATATTGAACTGTTCTTTCATTTTTGAGTGAAAGGCTGCTAAGTTCATGTGTGATGAGGGGAAAAAAAAAAAAAAGCCACTGAAGTCTGAAGTAGACACCAGTAGGAATTCTAAACTTGTTCACCCCTGAAGTCCCTGGGGTCAGAAAAACACTTGAACTTGGTTGAAGTAATTTCCCCTCCTGCCACATGTGTAGAGATCCAAAACTGTTACTTCAGTCTCCCCTCAAGTTACCACTAGGAATGAGGCCTCTGACACTTTTTATGAGTTTCAGCCTGATATGTCATAGTACATAGGGAGCTTTAGTCAAACCTGTAAGGAAAAGACTTTATTTTCCAGTGTTCTGTGCCCAGTCAATGGATATCCTTGTTGGGTAGTCATAGCCAGGCATGTGTTTGCAATCATACTAGTGACTATAAATAAGCACCAAAACCCAGCTGAGAAATGTCAGGTAAATTCGGTTTATTCAGTTAAACTTGTTTTACACAGTTCTGTATATTAATGATAGTGCACAAGGCATGAGCCTTGCACTGTTAGCTCTGTTCAGCTCTGTGAAAATACTATCCTGTTGTGTGTTTGCTTCAAAAGCATTTTGAAGTTGTAACTGTGCAATGATGTGTATCTGTACTAAGGCTTTTGTGTATGAGACTGATTTGTCCTCACCAAATGAATGAACAATTATGCTCTATAAAGAGGATTTAAAGAGAGATACAGTATTAGATGAGATAATAATTTATTGGCAGTGAAGGTTATTGAGTTATGCAAGTGGAGTCCCAGAGTGTATTCTTGCATAATGATTTTGGCCATTATAATGAAATAGGATAGTAAGGGAATAAAAGATTGTCAATAAGGTGTTTAAGCTTCCACTGCTGAATGTAGGATACGTATATTTTACCACTTAGTAGTGAAATAGCTTCACCTTATCAAACTTCAATAGGTTAAGAGAAAAACTGCCCCTTCAGTGTTGTATATCAGCCCTAGGGTGAAGGTAGGGTTAAATTTCACTGCCAAATGCATATTTATTCTCATTGTAAAGCTAATCTTGTAATTTCTCACAAGACTGGCAATCTTGGGAGAAATGAGCTAGTACTGAGGTTAAATTACCTCTTACCCTAAAGGAGGCAAAGAATATTCTTGGATGAATGGCTCAGCATGATACACATTACAGATAACTAAGCTGTTGCATTTACAAGTCTTGGCTTTTGGCTATGGAAAGAGCTTTAGTCCTGCTTCTAGTAGGATAAGCTGTCTGGAAGGTGCAATTCAAGGCTTTTTGGAATAATTCAGTTTTACTGGAAGTCTTTAAAATTGGACTGTCCCATTTTCTATTGTCTGTTGCCTACCGACTGATCTGGGAATTTTTAGTATTAGCTGGAGCCATTAGTGCAGTCACTTTCTAGCTAAAGAATGTACAGTGCTGACTTTTTAAGGGAAATGTGCAGTATACTGGAATTCTAAGTACTGGGTATGTTTGATTTATGTACGATAAGGGATAAACCATCTTTTTTTTCAACAGACCAATTGATCTAAAATTTTTAAAACCTTTCTGTTGATGCTTACAGATTTAAAGACAAGAAACTGTATAATGCTTTCAGTGATTACTTAATATTAAATTATTAAAATGAATCTAAGAAAAGGTAGATAAAGCTCACAGATTTTTTTTTTTAAACAGATTTTGCAGTCTGTTTCAGGATTGTTTCTTGACAGCACTGATTTTTTTTTTTTTCCTGAAACAGACTAAATTATAATGAAGTGCAGAACCATAGAAGGGGTTGAAAAATAATCCTGGAATAACTTATTTGATGTCAATTGCACAATTACTTTTATCTCATAGATTATTTTTCATAATTTTCACCCAGTCCACATAAGAGTAACGAGAAATGGCAAGCTTAGTAGAAAGTAGGGATATTATAATATGTGAGTGGTTATTTAAAGCCTCAAGAAAGGGAAGTAGTTAAAGGAAAAGTCTGGATTGAAAGAAATTAAAGTGCCTATTAAAATTATTAATATTGTGTAACTGTGGCTCATAGTTCAAAAAGATGAGTGTTTCTTGAGTGTGCAATATCCCTTCTGTTGCCAGTAGTGCAGAATTAGGGGGAGAGATTCACTTTACTCAGTGCACTTTGATATATCTGTGAAAAAAGTTGGATGAATTGAGCACATTTTTTTGGTTAGAGATGGAAGACACAGTGCTCAAAATGGCAGAGGATTTAATAGAGAGGCAGGATGAATGGGATAGATAGCCAGGGAAATTATATGTTTATAAAATGGGCTGTAGATGATAACAAGGTCTTACATTGTTGGCAATGGCAGATATCGACTTCTGTAGAAATGTATAGAAACTTTCAGTAAAAATAACGGTTTGTGGGATTAGGTAAATAAAGAATATATTCATAGAATCCTAGAATATCCTGAGCTGGAAGGGACTCAAGGATCGTCAAAGTCCAAGCCCTATTCAGGTTGATTTTAATGTCTTTCTTAGTTCTGAATCTCTTTTTCGGAAAATCCTTAACTCCAGATCGATGTTTAAGCTGACACTATGATCTGTGGTTTTATGTTGATGTGAGACTTTGATACTCCTTAAAAAAATATAAAAAAAGAAAATCCATTGCAGAATGTAGTATTGAGATGAATTTTGGGACCACTAAAGGCCCACATAAACTTCAGAGTAATAAGGAACTGAATTTTAAGAACAAAATAATTATAATTGTACTGAAACGGCAGCAAATGCAGTGAAGAAGATAAATAGAAGATACTTAGTTGTGAGAGAGAACTTTATGGTTACCCAGTAAAGAAGACAGAATAACTTATTTCAGACAAGAGAAGAGCTCTTAATATCAATCTTCAGCAGTAGAAATAAATACTTTTAACAGAAAAATGGCCATTCAGCATATGAGGAAAAAGCCAAAGAGAGGGGAAGGGGAGAAGGCAGAATGTGTGTTTGCCCCACATCACTTAATGATCCTCATTCCCAATGAGGAGAGAAGGGGGGAAAATCAAGTTGGGGGTGAAGCCAGGGAAGGTAAAGATCAACCACAAATACATAGTTTCCTTCTTTTTATGTATTGAATGTCAATGACAGGCTTTTCATTGTGATTTATTTTGTAAGATTCTGCTCCATAACAGTAAATACTGCAATTGTAAATGTTAGTGCAAGTTGCAAAGTATCATTTATGTTTCTGAAACAGAATCACTAGCACCTCATTTTCCAATAGTATTCTGAGACTGAAGCTTGGGACTTCTAGTCCTTCTTGATTTTATTTTTTTTAATATTTTATCTTAATCAGTGCTCTTTCTTCCTGTATAGGGAGAAGTTGGCTTCAGTGACATCTGTTATAGGAACAAAACTATGAATTTCAGCCATTGCTTGCAGCACCTGGGCTTCCTGTAGATGGGTGAGTGGACATCTGAGTTAGATAAAGAATACATTTAACTGAGTTTCTTAATTCCTTCATCTGGGTGTTCAAAGCTATTAATAGAATGGCTGAAGGATGAATTTTTTGATAATATATGGACAAAGATAAACAGTTATAGTAGGATGGTCTTAAAAGGTAATAATGGCAATGATCAAAAATAAGGAAAGTTCAAGAAGTTATTACCATCAAGAAGAATAGGTTTTATGGAGGTGTTGGCATTGTTGTTCTGACAGTTATTTGTATCATTATGTACTATTAATATAGGGAACTGAAAGCTCCTTCAGTATGCTCCTCCATCTGTACAATGTCTGTTACCTGAAGAAGTGGGTATGTAAACAATCCACCTAAATTCTACATTATCAAACTAGCAAACAAATTCCTACTACTCCCTAGGGATCCTCACATGCAGTTTGCTGGCCTTGTCATGATATCTGAACACTTTTTCTCTGGTTTTTGATAACTTGTGGGACATTTCTGATTTCTACCACCTGCAGAAGTGGCAGTAACAGCACAGGGAAATGACAGGGACCCCCCCATCACCATGTTCATGTCTTCAGACATGAGAAGGACCATTAAAGTTAACTCCTCCCCACCTGCTTTAGTTATGTCACCTCTTGAACTGCCTGATGTGGTGGTTGTGTGGGCAATTCAAATCACTGCCTTGCCCTGCAACCCCATTTCCAGAAGAACCATGTTTTCAGAGCAGTTTCACTTACTCCGTGAAAATCTCTCCATTGCTCTCTAATTTAAAAAGATATTCCTTGTGTCTGCCACCTCCCTGCTAAATGTAGATTGTGTGTCAGGGGACTGACACACAAAAGGACTCAATCTCTTAAGAAGCTGCCACCAGAACACCTAATAGACTGTCAGTTTGGATGTTTAAATGAGCCACAGAAAGGGAAGGAATAATGCTTTTAACAAAAGAATGGTGGGTAGACTAGAAAAAAGCTCAGCTCCACTGACAAGGTGACTGGAAATGTAGTACTTGCAGTAGAAGGGGAAGGTATTGATGAAGGCATCAGTAACAGGTGAAAAATGGTGCTCAGATTTGGGCTACTAAAAGGAAATACAGAAAGCATTTATGGCTGTAGAGAGAAGCAAGTAAAAAGTCCGATTAGGACTAGCATTACATGAAGGAGATTGTCTGTCTGCTTTGTAGGATGCAGTGTTGTCTTGGCTCCCCTTGTGATGACTGTTTTTTGAGTGGTATTTTTAAGCTACATCTGTGTATGTAACAGAGAACTGTGCCTGACTGAGCCCTGAAAATTAGTGTTTGTACATCTTGTAGATGTTTTATGCTGGTATCTTTGAAACTATATGTGGCATTATTTGGGTTAGGGATTCAGAACCTAATTCCTGTATGTCAGCAGCATCTCAAACTGCCTTGCTCACAAATGGAACAGGGAAGGTTAGAAACTGCAGGAGAAATTTTGTTCTGTTGTGCAGTTGATGCATTTGAACACTGCCACTATGAAAGCACATTCACTTTGCTACATGTTTGTGTTTGAGTAAGGCCGGTGGAATTTGATCCCCATTTCACTTGCCACATTTGGCACTTATGTGTGTTCAAAAATTATAAGCAAATGCACTTTGGTTTTATTGTCATGATGTTGAGAGTGTGCCACAACGAAATCATATATTGCCTCCTCTTTGTACTTATCTTACCTATCTGATGTGGCATTAACATTGGGAAGGTATTTAACTGAGATTTCTGCATCTTCTCATACCGTAATTGTGTATCCAGAACATCCACAGTGTGTGGCAGTTAAAAAAATAATTCCAAATTTCATTTTACAGGGATACTTGACAATCATATGTAAGTTACAGTATTTAATTGTATAGAAAATGAAACAATCTGCATTTTATAAAGAATGTACTCATACAGAAAGTGTTTAGAGGGTGGCAGTTCCAGAGGTGCAGCTTATGACAGTTTTCTGGTATTTGTGACGTATTTCAAAGCCTAGTAGGTTTGAAAAATACGTGTGTGGGCTCCTTTCTTAAAAACTGCTTTGTGTAGCATTACTGAAAACTTAACTGCAGATTATTTTCATTCTGTGCTGCTCTTTTCATGTGCATTTTTGAAAGGGAGAGAACTCTAAAATAGTTGATTGATTCATCAAGGTAAGGACTGGTGAACAGTTCATGTGTAGAAAATTCAATTTGATGGTACCCAGTAGTGCCAAGTTGGAGATTTGTGTGAATAAGCTTTGTTATGTTTATGATTTTTTTTTTTGGTGGTAGTTCTCCTATTTCTTTACATTACAAATTATAGTCACGAGTACCTCTTTACTTTAAAAAGCATACATATATGCACTTAATATTGCAATTCATGATGTTCTATAGTATGTATGAAATAATAATTAGGGAAATATTGGAAGTTTTTTAGGTCTGCAAGAGAAGGGGCATATAAAACAAATGTTAATGTTGTTGTTCCCTAATTTTTAATTTTTTCTTATTTCTCTGTCTGAATTTGGTACCATTTCTGGGAAGTTTTTAAGATAACAGGAATTTCAACACCATAAATTCTGTAGGATAGCAACTGAAACTTATTTCTACACACACACTACCCCATTATAGCAGCTTTTTCTGATTCCATCTTGAACCTGTTCACTCATGGATAGTACTGCTACCTTTAACTCAGGTTCAATGTGCTTGGTACTATCACAATTACTGTAATGGGCAGTGATCTTGGAAGCAGAAATTATATATGAATCTCAGACTTAAAACAGGATTAAGGAAGCATGGCAGCCATTAGTCAGGATTACAGTTAATATGCAAATGTAAAATGATCTATGAAAATGAGAAAATCCTCCAGCATTTTTGTCTACTCTGACCTTTTAAACATTTTCTAGTATGATATTAATATTCAAAGTAAATTTATCCAAACTGATCATTTATTTTATTCAAGTATCTACTTCCCATTCTGTGTTCAGAAGTCTAATAAATTACAGCATTTACGTTTCAGTGTATGAGAGGAAAAATAATATATAATTAAAAATATGTGTATTATATTTTTATATACGACTCTGCAAGGAAATTGCAGGTCATTTTCTTTATCTGTGCTGCTTACATAATGCCAGAATAGTGAGTGACCAAGTGTACTTTGTAGTATCCCATCATTCCATCACCTGACATAAAACAGGACGCAGGGGCCATAGTAGTAAAATAACTGCATTTGGTCAATCTGTGCAATACTTGATACCAGAGGGGTCTGCGTGGGCTCTAGAGAAAGTTTTACACTTCAGGATTAGTTGTGGCTTAGGTAAGAGTAGGTATTTCCTCAGCTATAGTAGTCCAGATTTGTCCCAGCTGCTACGGGACTGTCGAAAGGTGCTTTAGCTGAGGTGAGTGATTTGCTGTGGGGTCACAAGACAGACAATACAATAACGTTGCCTCCTTTATTTCCCTTTGCTGCTTAAATGATTTGTTTTTAGAGCTTAAAGACTGAAGTGACACGATAAGAATGTAGACAGACTGCTGGTTATGTGTTCTCTAATGACTTAAACCCTACTACAAGTGTAACCTAAACTCTGGTAGGATTCCTTTGCTCTGACTTGGTTGCAATTTCTGTACAGATGCAATGTATGTTAGATCCTAGCCAATGTATTTATCAAATGGAAATCCAGCTCATGCTCTGCTCTGTGCTGCATCCCTTTTTTTGGCCATTTAGTTTTGTAAAAACATTTTTGTGCTTGGAACACTTTTGGCTGTGAGCAGAGAAGATGAATCATGCACTTGAAAGGATTGCTTTCAGATGTGTTTACTACAAGAAAGCCCTTTTGGAAAATGTTTGGCCTCAGTGGAAAAATTTCTAGGAAGTCACTTAGCATTCAAATGCCACCTCATGAAGTTGCTCAGTTTTCAAGTTTGTTTGTCTCTACTGCTGTAGACTGACTGCTGGAGAGGAATAAACAGTAAACAGCATCACTGGTCCAGAGCTTGCAGTAAGTCCTGGCTTTAGGCTTTTGTCATTCATACATTTTGGAAACTCTAACCAAAGACTCTCTTGATTTCTTCAAGAAAAATGGAAAGAAGAGATTTGTTTCTCACTGTGACAGTAGAATACCTTCCCAGTGTTTGGATTTATTCCATGATGATTTTCCCTAGAAATTTGTCTGTCTTTTCAAAAATGAGTGGTCAAAAAAGAAGCCATTGCAAGAAATTGCTGTCTCTTTCTTCCTCCCTAGCCCTGAATGCTGGATCCACTCATGCCTTTGGCTACCTGTTTTGCTGATAATTTGCCAGTTCACAGGTGGCAAGTCCTGTGTTGCTGGATGTTATTAAATAAATGGTTTTCCAGATGGCTATAATACTACATTTTTAAATAAAAGTACACAAGCTTAGTGTCAGCATCTTATTTATGGAATGCTTTTGGCTCCTGAACTGCTGGTTGAAATTGTTGTAAGCCATTTGGTCACTGAGAAGTAATTGTGTATTACTGTAGACAACAAGCTGTTTGCATTAATTAGCAATCAAAGCATATTGCCAAATGGGGAATAACATGTCTTTGACATCTCTGCAGATTCTGGTAACTGAAGCAGTGCAGACCCATGGATTCCCCTTTTTCTGCATGTTTACAGCATGAACTTCCAGTCCATCTGCCCAAATAGCCATCTGCAAAACCACCAGGGCAACAACTGATAGAAATAAAATCCGAGGTTCAAGAAACAGCATATGAGGGTGCAAGGGAGTTTGTAAAAAGACATTGGTGTTTGCAGTAAAAGTAGCTCTTGTGAGCATTTAATGCAGCTTCTAAAAAGGGAAAATGGTGAATGTTGTCTTGTTCACATAAGTGCTCTTTTCACCAGCTAAGGAAGAGTGATTGGGGGTAACTTGAACCACCTTTAGGGAAACACAGGAGGCAGGGCAGGAGGGCAAACCTTCTGAAGATAGTAATCCACCTTAGATGAGGTAATGTACAGACAAGGGATGGTACAGATCACATGGTATTAACCAAATCTTGCCAGTCTCCATCTCTC